TCTTTCAGTGAAAAGTGAGCTTGGAATGGCAATAGCAGGAAACTTGAGACACTCAGAGGGCTGAGTCGCAGCATAGCTTAGAAACCCTGGAATATGACTGCACAATCAGTCACTGAGGAAGGTAAAAGCTGTATTAAGCTACAAGTCATGGGCCGCGGGCTTCTGGATAGCCCACAGGCCTTCACCTGGCATCCAATCTTTTCTTGGTATTTGACCTCTGGCTTTTCATTTTCCCTAGTCCTCTGTTCAACGTGCGCATTAATCTCACTGGCACTTTCTCTCTCACCTGGTTCTAGAGCCCACCCTTTCATCTTCAGTAAAATAATCCTAACCTCTGCATTGCTCTTGACCCCTGTGCACTGCTTTATGCTTCAGGACACGTAGGTGTCACCCACCTCAATGGCTTTCATTCCCTCAAGCCAGAACAGTATTACAGCTAAAAGCGGTACTTCCATATTCCAGTGAAAAACGGCAGTTAAAATGTTATCCATTTTTGTCAAATCAACTGCCACCTGTGACTTAGCTAATTTTTCAAGGGAAAAACTCTCTCAACCTTAAATTCAAATCTCTGTAGGCTTTTCTGAATAAATTAGTTTACCCTGGTCTTTGAGTTTTATTGTTTTTGCATATATTTCTTGCCTTCCTAAAAAACAGGCAAAGAATACATCTTGCTCCATTTGCATGCCCCATCCATTCTTTAAAAACAGTATATATCCTGGAAAGATGTATGTATTATATAAATATAGAGAGAGAGATTTATATAGATTTATATATATATATATATAGACATACATATACACACACACACATGCTTATTATATGAAAATTGTTGAGTTAACCTCATGTGTTCAGTTTTGGCTGTCCCAGTCTTGTAATATCACATCGGTTTTCCCCATAGTAAAAAAAAAAAAAAAAAAAAAATACTGGAGAAAGAGAGAAATCTGGATTTAGCTAAAGAAATAAAACTGAAACATCTTGTCACACAAAATATAAAATGTTTAATATGTGTATGTGTGTGCAAATATGTGTGTGTGTTTTATAATTTCTATAAATATGCTCAGTGTGTTGTGCTTGGCACACAGCCATCTTTTGAAAACAGTTATCTCAAAATCATGTAAAGGATTTCCTTGTCTCAAAAACTCTAGATTTCAACTTACGCACCTGTAGAACAGCACGCTCTTGAGCACAATTTTGCTTTACAGAAACTCACAGGGCACTTCCTCTGAGTTACTTACTTAGGAAATGCTATAATAAATTACATCTAGTTTTTCATATTTACATCTGCACAGATCTGAAAAGTTTAAGCTTATTAATTTCAGATGAGAAAGGGTAGAGGAGGGAAATTCTTTTCAGTATCTTAAATTCAGCAAAAAAAAATTAATTTCCTAGCTTTATTTGACTGCAACTTCACTAAATTTTAATGTTTATTCACTGAAGCTATTAAATTTGTTTTATTAATTGTATCTATTCTATTAGACTTATACTAGTTTCTTTTACTGCATTCAAAAGGCAGAGCAATAGACGTTGATCTCCCACCCACTGGTTCATTGCTTTACAGGCGCCAAGGGCTGGAACTGAGCCAGGTGCAAACCTGTGGGTGGCAGCGACTCAATCAGCTGCTTTACCTGCTGCTTCCCAAGGTTCACGTTAGCAGGAGTTGGAAGTGGGTGTGCAGTCAGGTTTCAAACAGGCACTCTCTCACGGGATATGGGCAACTCAGAGTCAACCAGTTTGCCAAATGCCTGTCCTCCGTGAAACATTTTTAAACCAAATATTGCTGATTAAACTATTCATCTGCTTTTATCTGTTTGCAATACTGACAACAGACTCAATTTCAACATATTATCAAATTTCAGGCCATTCTTTTTAAAGTTTCACTTTAATTATTTGAAAGGCAGTGTTACAAGAAAAGAGCAAAAGAGAGAGGCAGGAACTTATAGCCACTGGGTCACTCCCCAAATGGCCGAGACCAAGTCTGGGCACAGCCAGAAGTCCAGAGCTCCATCCAGGTCTCATACACAGAGGCAGAAGCCCAAATACTGGGGCCATCCTCCATTGATTTCCCAGGTACTGTACCAGCACGACGGATCAGAAGCGGAGCAGCTGGGTCTTAAATTGGCACTGATACGGGATGCCAGCATTGCAGGTGGTGGCTTTTACCTACTATATCACAACATGGGTGCCTCTTGCAATGTTTAAGCCAATGTTAAGGTTCTCACCAATTCACTGGACAATAAATGTCCTATGCTAAGCACTCTACTACAGAAACCACAGTAGATAAAGCAACATACTTGGTAGTCCCCACTGGAGCTTATAAGACACAAGCCAATCTTCTGGCACTGAACCCTGTTGAAGAACATTAAGGAAGTGACAGGTGACACAGAAGAGGGACACCTGCAACATTAAATCTGGTGCCAGGATTAATACAAAATAGATTAGAGCAGAACTGGGGAGAGGCGGAATCCAAATCACCCTGCTCTCTGGAGGAAGAGTATTCCAGAAGGAACAAGCACGGGGGACCACACGAAACACTCCAGGTTTTTATTCCTCCACATTTAACAGAATAATAGTAAGTGGCTGCTTTGTGATCTATCGAGTTATCATTTCCTGGAGCCCAGGAGAGATTGAAAATAAAGTCTATAACAGGAAATTTTAGTCAACTAACCTGGTCTGTGCCTTTATGGCCTCTTACCATAAAGGTTTACTGGAACACAGCTGCATTCATTGGTTTATAAATTATCTATATCTGCTTTTATACCACAACTGCTCAGCTTAACAGCTTCAACAGAGACCATTTGGCTCTAAAGCTTACACTATTTACTATTTGACTGCCTGCAAACGAATGCTCTGTGGAATTCAGAATGCTGCCTCAATCCATGCTGTCAGCACCAGAGATGTGGCCTTGACTTAAGCAAAATTTAGCAGTTTCTTCACAATTAAAGAGTGGCATTGCTTAATATAACTAACGAGCATGCGCAACACCTCCAACAGAATACAGAATCTGACCAGGAAAAGGAAAGTTTTAGATTTCACTTCTGCACTAAGCAAAGGAGTTTCTTTCTACTCAAAGCAACGTAATAAAGCAATGTAATACATTTCTTTGTGCTGTAACAAGCTCATTTGTTTAAAATCCTATTTCCACCCAGCCTGATATCCAACAGAAAACCTCTAAGTCAGCAACTAAATCATTTTACCTAACATGACAAAACACAAATCTAGAAAACTAAGAGCATCTAACCTCAGGCACCTTCAGAACAGAAAGGCTTGAGATTCAAACTTAACTCTTCTGAATGTCCCAAGGGAGGCCATGAAGGGTGAGGCTTTCTCAGAGTGCCTGAACTCCAGCACACTAGCCTTGCAGAGAGAAATACTACCACGAACCATCTGAGACACTGCTAGGCAGGTCTGTGGATTTTTTTTTTTTTTGATGACAAAGAGAGAACAACACTTAATGTTTTACAAAAAGAAAAAGTTCTGAGAACATTCTAACTCACACTGTCATTCCAGCAGTGTGTGCGAGGCTGAGGGCTCATGCTTTGGGGAGAACTGATTGAAAATAGACAATATACAACAGACCATTTTTTATCGCAATGTCAACCGAAAGGAGTGATGAGAAAGCCTTGATGCTAAGTACCCCACTTCAGTTATCTAATATACAAATGTCTAAAAGAATGAAGTCATTGCAACTATTGACCACATAAGTACTAACCATAAAAAAAATTGGGGTTTTTACCCACTTTCCTGTAGCCCTTGAACCTTTTTACCCAAATTAACTATGTAAAGATTGTCAAAATAAAAAAAAAAATTGGGGGTTTTCTCCATTTGCCTAAGAAATTCCACCAGTCATTTGATGGTATGGTATTTTTTTGTTAGTAAAGTTATTTTGGAGCAAATTAAGGATTTTAAAAAACACTACACATTGTGAGAGCAACAGGAGAAGAAACCTACAGGGACTCACCACATTAGCTACATCAACATGAAAAACTTAGTCCCAGAATAACTGAATAAATCATGAACAACAATCCAAGTAAAGAATTCAAAAAACTCAGGATGCAAGAAAACAATTCTAAATAATTCCTCCTTAAATTTGTGCCAGTAAGATAAACTACTGAGAGATACACAAGTTTCTTTGTAAATATCTGAAATAACAAATCTGTTTTTTTAAAAGACTAAACCTAAAAGTATTCTGGCTTTCTGTAAACCATTAAAAAAAAAAAACCTTTAAGTAGCAATGAAGATCTAAATCTAACAATACCATTCTTTTCTCAAACAGAACACTGTTATGATACGAGCAGAAGCCAACCACAGTGGGCTGAGTAATACAACTCAGTCTGCTGTGTTGTTCTTTGCTACACAATGGGACACAGCACAGTACATTCTAGTGTGAAGTCAGACTCTAACATGGGCATCTAGTCATGAGATCACAGCTCTGGACTTCAATTCACTCTTCAGATCCTTAGTTGCAGCACTGCACTACATACATCCTCCCCAGCAATCCAACAGTGGCACCATCCAAGGGGAAAGGGTGTCCCTGAACCTCATTTGTCTTGAGGCAAAGGGTATCAGGGAAGTGGCAACTTGGGAGACTTAGAAATGAATGAATATGGGCACAGAGCACTAGCCAACTGGCTAAAGTCCTTGCCTGGCACACGCCAGGATCCCATGTGGCCGCTGGTTCTAATCCCTGCGGGCCCTGCTTCCCATCCAGCTCACTGCTTGTGACCTGGGAAAGCAGTCGAAGACGGCCCAAAGCCTTGGGACCCTGCACCTGTGTGGGAGACCCAGAAGAGGTTCTGGGTTCCTGGCTTCAGATTGGGGCAGCTCCGGCCACTGCAGCCACTTGGGGAGTAAATCACCGAACAGAAGATCTTCCTCTCTGTCTCTCCTCCTCTCTATATATCTGACTTTCCAATAAAAAAATAAATCTTTAAAAAATGAGTGAATTTGAGTATTTTTGAAATATGCAATGTATTAAGTAAAATCAATGAGTAAATACATACCCTTGTGGGGAGAGCTTATCCAGCCACCCGGATTTCACCTTCCTGGCAGATGTACCATAGAAGCAAGCATAGGGAGATATGGCGTTGGAGGAAATGGCTGATGAATCCGCATTTCCACTTGTTGAGCTTAATGGGTAACTGTGCCTATTAACTGGGTCCACATTCACTGATTTTTGCGTCCTCAATTTTGATGCCTTTGAATTTTTTCTTCTTAAACTCTGAAAACATTCTTCCACTGTTGAGTATTCTGATTCGGAAGCAGGCTCTGTCGAAGGATTGCTTTTGTCCTCTCGAGGTATCCAAATGTCTTCCACTTTAACTTCATTTGTATTCTCCTTCCTGTTATCATATATGCTAAATGAAAGGGAATGGAGTTAATATTTTCAAGTGCCATGTGTGATTTAAAGCATCTATTGGCTTTTCATGTAAAAAAAAAAATAATCAGACATTTAAAGCCAGGACAGTCTTAGAGGTCAAGTAACCCTTTTGATTAATTCCAAACTCTTCAAGGAAAATTAAGCATAGACCTTTTATTATCCAATGACATATCTGAATAATACTATGAGGTTTTTGTTTATTTGTTTGTTTGTTTCTTAAATAGAATCCAACTTGTTCCTTTTTGGCTTTGGGGATTGGGCACAAGTAGCAACAGAGGAAAATGGAGAAGGACTGTAATATTACCTCCACATTTATACATCTTCAGTAGCACAATCAAGTGGGCAGGAAGTGGGCAGCTTCACCTTTATTCTCTGGGTAACACTATGAGGTCATGTGTTCTTAGAGATCTTGTTTCCAACTCGTTGCCCATTTTCTATTTTCTGGTAATTGACTCTATTAACTCCATGTTTCATCATAATGTAACAAAGCTGAGAGCATGACTGCTCAGTTTCAGTATTATTTTGCATTGCTAATGAAAAAAAACACTGTACCACACTGCAAGCCAGAAAACAGGCTCGGGTCAGTGCATATTCAGAATGTAAAAGCTGCATAATATACACTATTTACTGGAATACATTCACATTAGCTAAGCACATTCTACAGATTTAAGGAATGGCACAATGGAGTTAGTCACTGATGTAAAATTAAACTAACAGATATGCCTAAAGGACAAATTACACCCTCCTGAATATAATGTTCTGAAAAAATCACTATTTCTCTTAAAAAATGTTTGAGCCTATTCCTTGCAATGTTTTGCATTATCATCAATTCACATCAAATTCTTACTGAAGTCATAAAATTAAGAGGTTTTCGTTTGTGCTTTTTTCTTTATTTGAAGGCAAAGAAACAGCCCTAAATTGTCACAATCATTGGATTGGGCCTGGCTAAAGCCAAAAGGCAGGAACTGAACTGAGGTCTCCCACATGAGCAGAAGAGACCCAAGTGCTTGAGAAATCATCTGCCACGTCCCCACAGTCTGATCAGTAGGAAGCTGGAATCAGAACTAGGATTGGAATGTGAACCGAATTACTCTGATGTAAAACGCAAGCATCTTTTGCTAAGCCAAACACCTTTCTCACGGATAAAGGAAATCTCTAACAGTATTAACAATGGAAAAATTTTTAAATTAAAATAAATGTCAAGTAACCATCTAATATAACAACTCCCAAAATTTTATTTTATTTTTTTTTATTGTTGTTAACTCCCAAAATTTTAAAGGAAAACGCAATTTAAATTGGTACCTATAACTTCTGTTTTATTTCACGTGATTTCACGTCATCAAGGGTCGTATAAAATCTACACTACACTTGAAAATGTTGCAATTTCCAAAAAAAAAAAGAAAATATTGCAATTCCTGTAGGGAAATTCTGCACGGCCCCCTTCCTCCTTATATTAACATCAGTTTTTGTCTTTAAGACGCAGTCATGGTAACCACATATTGCCACTCTGAAGAGGTAGCTGTCATTTCATTTAGGAAAAGGCAAATATAGCGTTATCATGTACATGATGCTACCTGTTCTAATAAAGACTGCAATTCAGTTCTAAAAATGGATGCTGATGTAGAAACACACTAGAGAGAATATCTGAACTATACCAACGCAAATAATACTCGCATAAATACAGTTATACACAAGAAGTAAAAGTCAACTTTTTTAAACTTTTTAATCTAAAAAATTAGTCATCATCAGTCACAATGACATACCTTGATTTGATGCATACAGAGGTCCCCACAGTACTTGTCTCCCCTTTGAGTGTTTCTTCATGAGCCCAAAACTCATTTTTCACACATCTCTTCTATTACAAGAAAAAAAAATTACGAAACATTTACAATTTTGCTTTTTTGGTTGTGGCATATTTTTAAGTCTGACAGCATTTTTTAAAGATCCACAAATATTTGAATTTCTTTTTATTAAACAAATACATAATTACTAACTCAAGTTTCAGTCTGAATAATTTAATCAGGGAGAATATTAAACAATAGCCATGTGATTCTTTTTTGTTTTACTAAAAATATTAATAGCTCATAATTTCAGCTAAGAGGAGAAAAGGTTGTTATACAATAACAAAATTCCATGGACTTTTGCTCTCCTGCATTATTTTTGTCTGCCAATTTCTCTTTTAGCAAGACCAAGAAAAAACACAGCAAAAGGGCACAAGGGCTGGAGTGGAACTATCGAATGATCAATTGAAATAAAACCATATTAATAACTAGAAGTCTATACACACACAGTTTACAGTAAGCAAAGCAAAATATAGCTGAGGTAGATTATGTCTTAAGGAGATAATGTCGTTTCTTCATTAAAGTAACTTTATTTTATGGCAAATTATTTAAGACCACAAACAAAGAGCTTTCACAATTTATATTTAAAGATATGATTGATCATCATTTTAATGAACAGAAATCCTACCAACTAGAAATCTGATTATTCTATAGAATACATTCTTCAGAGAGCTCCCCGGAGAATGAAAAGACACAGCAGGTCAGAAAGAGTACAGCACAGATCACGGTCAAAGATAAAAATACAGAGGACTAACCTTGGAATGTTCCAGTCCCTGAGAGAGAAAGGTCTCTCCATAAGGAAAGATGGAAGATGAATTCTCCTCATTTAAATTTTCTGGAGGAATGAGGATAATAAAAAGATGTTAATAATTTGGCACTAAAGTTCAAAATGCATGTGTTTATTTTATACTAATATTGTAACCTAAGAATCATTCTATTAGAATCCCAAACTGTGCTAACTGTTAATCATGCATCAATTTTTCAGGGGTCTTCTTGATACAGTATTTACTATAATATCTCTGATTTCAGACCAGACGAGATCGGGCACATTCAGGGTGGTATGGCCATTGACCATATCTCTGATTTCAAACATGACATACATTGCTTTGTTAAACTGTAATGGTCACATGTGCTCTTACTAACCTTAAAGTTCCACATGAACCAAGCACATTGCCCCAGACAGTGGACACTGTCATAATGTCCTCTTTAAGCTAATTCCTAAATAAAAGACAATTCTAATTGTCAGAAAATTAACCTTAAATCTTACATAATTTTTGATTGATTCACCAATATGACAGCTAACCAATCATTTAAAATTCCACAATTCATTGAAAGAAGTTCCTCTATTACCAGAGCCACCAACATATCTATAAACAATTTCCAAAGAATTTCCATCCTCTCTGAATTACCCTGGTTTATATGACAGTATTCTCATAGCTCTGTGATTTTGTTTTATGGCTTTTCATTTAAGGGGATATATAGTAACTGCAGAGACTATCACATATAGATGTGAAATACAATCCAGTGAGTATCTCTACTTCCAAATCTAAGACGGACTCCTAATGAAACTGTCACATGTTATTGTGACCTAGGATGCTGGACTTTCTACCATTGTCCATGCCTACAATGTCAGGATACACTTACATAGCAGACTGAAGAACTTATGACTGGTTGTTAAGGACCATCCTATTTGTAATCACACTGGGGGAATTAGTAGGGGATGGAGATTTGGGAAGGGGTGAGGGGAAACCCCAGAAATTTTTTTAAATGCTTAAGGTGCAGCAGCCAAGCCTTTGCAAGCATGGATGAAGAAACAGCTTGCAGAACCCAAATCTGCAAATGAAGGATGAGCCTCTGTCAAGGATCCACCTGCTTAAGCAATATCAGTCCTGGCTTGCAACCATGGTAAAACCGCTTTCCATATTTCTTTGTGCCATCAGAACAATATAGTTAATACTTGTGACTGCAGCCAAGGATAAACAAAGCCACATTATCAAGTAAGCACAAGTCAGAGTGGATGTTAATGTCTTTTGTTCAATCACTTTCAGAAGACTTTGCTGAAGTACCCTGACTGCTGATACACAGTCACTCCCATTATTCCCTCTATCACAGGTGTGTTGTCACCTCAATTGTCATTTTAACACATGGCAACCAGCAAATGAGTGCTAACTAAATTATGGAAACTTTAAGCACACAAGACTTACTCTGCTGTGTGGCAGACTTTCCAGGTGAGGTAGCAATATTTCTTCTCTCACGGAAATAGCTTAAAACAAAGGGGAAATCAATGATGAGTTACGACCTTGACAAAGAACTTAGGACACTTTTGGGAGAGAATAAAAACAGATATGTCAAAATAAGTGTGATTTAAAATAAAGATATAATGGCCGAAGTCTACAAATGTGTTTTTCCTAAATAGATTTAAATGATGAGATTTCAATGGATTTACAAGTGTTTGCCTCTTACATGGATAATGCAGAAAAACAAATGAATCGTCAAATACTAGTCTTCCCATAATTTCAAGACTATTAAACATTTTGTTTAATGTTTCTTGTTTTGGGGGTTTTATATCTTCATTAACTGAGTCAAAACATGTGTCTGACTGCAAAAACAACACGAAAATACACAGAAGACCTATCCGGTATCTCAGTGTCAATGAGAGATGGCACAGGCGGCAAGGTAACAGCAATGACAGGCAGACGCCACTGTAACAAGGGGTACTACGTACTATAAGCATAGAGAATATGCTAGTTCTCCTTTTGAAAATATCTTCCTAAATATACTTGGATACATAATGTGAAGCAAGATATATACATATATATGTATATATGTATGTGTATATATATATATCATACCACCCAAGTAAAGTGCAGCAAGAAAATAACAAAACTCCAAAAAAAATAGAAAAATGTTCTAAATCCTTACAACTCCAGTTGCTTTTTTTTTAAAGATTTATTTTTATTATTTTTTATTGGAAAGGCGGATATACAGAGAGGAGAGACAGAGAGGAAGATCTTCCGTCCGATGATTCACTCCCCAAGTGAGCACAACGGCCGATGCTATGCCGATCTGAAGCCAGGAGCCTCTTCCAGGTCTCCCACGCGGGTGCAGGGTCCCAAAGCTTTGGGCCGTCCTCGACTGCTCTCCTGGGCCACAGGCAGGGAGCTGGAAGGGAAGCGGGGCTGCTGGGATAGAACCGGCACCCATATGGGATCCCGGGCATGCAAGGCAAGGACCTTAATCACTTGCGCCACGGCGCTGGGCCCAACTCCAGTCATTTTTAAACCAATCAATAAATCAATAGAACTGAAAAACCTCAATGAAGGAAAACAGAGGAGAGGCAACACACAGAAATTACCAATATTACAAATGAAACAGAGGACATCATTATACATCTAAATAATATGAAAATTATACAGTATTAAGAAAAACTTCATGTCAATAAATTTAACTTAGACCAAGAAAAATTCCTTCAGAGACAAATGAACAATTCTAACAATATTAAGTGGAAAATTTTAATAGCCATATGTATGTCAAACAAAATTAAACTAAGGTTTAAAAGAAAGCAAAAGTTTTAAATTTTTTTATTTTATTTTATTATTTGCAAAAGAATGTTAAAAGGGTACATGTACTTTAATAAAGTGTTTGATAATTGCTTACAAACATTTACCTACATTAACAGCAGTCATACTTCTAGGAATATATTCAACAGACAAGCATGTTGGTGTGTTTCAGAAATAAATATCCAAATGCATGCCCACGGGCAAACAGAAACAAAATTATCATTCAATAATATAAAAAACAAATCCCATGCAGTAACGTCAGAAAGCTACGTTCAGGCATAAGGCATATGGCGTAACAGCTAAAATACCACTTACACAATGACATCCCACGTGACAGCGCCACCCTCAGCAGATCCCGCTGCACTGATGATCCCAGGAGCTCACTAACAGGCATCCTCGTAGGTATCAGCTCATCATCCAGGCAGATCTCATCACGCACAGTGGAACTCAGAGTGAGTTCCTGGCTCTTGGTAAAGCAGTACATGAAGGGGGATGGGATGTGTGTGTGTGTGTGTGTGTGTCTCCAAGTTAAAGAAATTAATCTTTTAAAAAATGTATTTATTCATATTTGAACGACAGATTTTATAGAAGGTGATGGAGAGATAGAGAGGTCTTCCTTTTGCTGGTTCACTCTCCAAATGACCTCAACAGCCAGAGCTGAGCTGAGCTCCGCTCAGCTGAAGCTGGGAGCCGGAAGCTTTCCTTGAGTCCACCACATGGGTGCAGAATCTCAAGGACTTGTATCACGCACTGTGGCTTTACAAGCCCTTGAGCAGAGAGCTGGTTAGGACATAAAGCAGCTGGGACCAGAATCAGTGCCCATATGGGAAGCAGGCGCCCCTGAATAAATTATCAAAAAAAAAAAAAAGACCATACAGAGTACAGATGTCAAGATACAAAACACTACCTACTCTATGTTTTGACTTATATGAAATTCTGCAGTAGAAAAAACTGATTTAGAGTAACATGAATGGTTGCCAAATGCAGGAATTAGAGAAACTTACTTCAAGTGTCACAAGATAATTTAGGTGATGGGGAGAGCAACAGGGAGACTGTATGTCTTAATTGTTGACGTGAGCAAATGGTAGAACAGGTTGAATACCTTTTATCAAGGACACTGAGAGCTGAAATTTTCAGATTTCACATTTTCTTGGGTTCTAGAATATTGTAAACGCATTCCCAGGTGAGCATTCCTAAGCAGAAAAATCAAACCTAAGATGCTCCCAGGGGCTGAAAGCTTTGAAGTAGCAGGTGGGAAATCAAACAAGTTTTAAATTTTGAAGCATTTCAGATCTGAAGGCTTTAAGTTAGATACAACCAGCCTATTTATGCCTGGTAAAACTCATCCACTCGCATCCTCCAAATGATTCTATTTTACACTATGTGAATTATATATATTGTATATGTATTATGTATTATATATGAATATTGCATATGTAGTGTATATACATACAAGTATGCATACATATGTGCATATATAAACACTTATAAGTAAATATTAAAATACTCAACAAAGTTGGAAACATGAAACATTACCAATAGTAAAAATGAATGACAGGCTATGTTCATAAAAGAAATGTAATATAGCAACGAAAATGAATAAATCTTCAGATTCCTGACATTTAAAAGTTTTCTAATTATTTCCTTAAATTTATATATTATTCAAACAACTACCTAATAATCATTTGAACCCTTGAGTGGAATGTTACTCAAATTTTCTACATTTTTTGCCTCTTTAAGGTAATAATATTATTATAACTCTGACACAATCATCAGCATTTAATATTTACATACTATATATATATACAATTACATGTATATTTACACACAATCATATATAGTCACAAGAAAGAAGAGTATCTGTGTTTTTCAAAGAAAAATTACTACACAAAGCAGTTACTATCTCTTAAGTAACTGACCTGAGATTTCAACACACGTCTAGCTCCATAACCCATTCTAAACCACAATGTTCAGATTTAAAAATTCTTGGCTATAAATTTATTTTTTTCACCTATTTAGACGAGATCGGGGGCGTTCAAGGTGATATGGCCATAGACTATTTTTTCATCTATTTATAAGTAAATGATCACAAACTCTCCACTATATTCCTAATAAGGGCTGAAATGCCTGCATCCCACATCAGGAATGCCTTGGTTCTATGTCAAACTGTGGCTCCTCTCTCCCCCTTGCCGATAATGTAGCAGTGAAGGGACCTGGCATGGTTTCATAGCAAGCCAATCCTCCTCCCATAGCACTGGCATCCCATATGAGCACAGGTTCCTCTCCCAGATGTGCCACTTCCCATCTAGCTCTCTGCTTATGGCCTGATAAGGCAGCAGAAAAAGACTTAGGTCAATGCATAAGGCCCCTGCACCCATGTGGATGACCTGGAAGAAACTCCTGGGTCATGGCTTTGAATGACTCTCACCATTGTAACCTTTTGGTTTGTGTTCTTTCTTTCTTTCTCTTTCTCTCTCTCTCTCTTAAGATTTATTTATTTATTGGAAAGTCTGATACAGAGAAGGGAGAGATAAAGAGGAAGATCTTCTGTCCAATGATTCACTCCCCAAGTGAGCGCAACAGCCGATGTTACACCGATCCAAAGCCAGGATCCAGGAACTTCTTCCAGGTCTCCCACATGGGTGCAGAGTCCCAAGGCTTTGGGCCATCTTCGACTGCTTTCCCAGGCCACAAGCAACGAGCTAGATGGGAAGTGGAGCTGCCGGGATTAGAACCGGCGCCCATATTGGATCCTGGGCACATGCAAGGCGAGGACTTTAGCAGCTAGGTCACGCCACCGGGCCCTCTCTTTCTCTTTGTAAAAACTTTTTTAAAAAAAATAATAAATACATCTTTAACTGTGTTCCTGTCACAAATGTGAAAGACTGGGACTGTATCCCCAACTACAGCTATGGCAGATACTTGAAAGAATGAAAAGATCACAGCATACATTCTTCCTTTCCATTTCTACCCCTAGGATAAATTAATAATTTTTTTAAAATGCTGTACAGTGAATATGGCATAAGATATAAGCACTGAGAGGAACAAACAAATCTCAAGCACTCTGAGTAAAACGCTAAGTTGAAAAAGAGTATCATTTTCACACATTAAGCACAAAGGCATGAGTAAGAAAAATATCCATTTCAGAACACTGATTATTTCTGAGAATGGAAAAACAACAAAAGAATGTACGCTGATTTTATTTTTCAACAAACTAATCTGAGCTCATTAAGATTTCTTTTAATGCAAGGAGTATTATGATTCTTGCTACTGTACGGACCTTCCTCTGCATTTAAGATTTCTCAAAGTATGGATAATTTAGTCTTAATGTTTTTGTTGTGGTTTTCAAACTATTTCCTAAAGATGACTCAATCCACAGCCACTAACAACGAAGGTACAGCCATTAGCTTATCTCCAACAACACAAGCTGCCTCCTCTTTCACATAAACTCGTGAGAGGTATGACCTCATCTTCATCTCTGGCTCACAACCCCTCCACTTCCTCTTCAGTGATCTAGACAAGCACAAGGTTCAACAAGCTAGGACTTGTTGAAGCCATGCCCCAAACACTGTAACCTAGCAGAGAACGTGTGTTATTAAAGATAGATTCAAATACCAACTAATATGAAAATGAGCTGACAAAATAAATTATATATATATACATATACATATATATACACACACACACAGTATGAGTTACAGCC